AGAGAGAGAGAGAGAGAGAGAGAGAGAGAGAGAGAGAGAGAGAGAGAGAGAGAGAGAGAGACTATCCGACCTCGCGGCTCCCGCCATCCTACTTCCATTGATAGGACGAGCTCCCGCCATCCTACTTCCATCGATAGGACGAGCAACATCCAATGAATCTTCGGCTAGAACATGGAAATATACACTACCTGGTTGAATATGGCCGACCGCATCATGGAAGAACAAAGAGCCCGTTCGTAAAGTCGCGCCGACACCCAACCCACCCCGGCGCGGCGCGAAAAAACCCGGTAGCGAAAAAAGAGCTCGTTGGCCACCCGCAGGCAACCTGACTCGACCCCCTGGCCTCACCGAACCCGCACGCAGTCGCCCTCGGGCCTGCCATGAGTCCCACACCAGGGAACCGGGTCTCGCGCGGGACCGTCACGCGAGACCCGCGTTTTCCGTTATATGTATAGAGAAATTAAAAAAATAAAAATAAAATAATTGACAGCCAGCAAGCTCAACCATTTGAGGTGCACCCAGTTATTAATATCTGTCGCGTCGTCGGGCATTGCGGAATACGTCATCATCTGACCCAGAGCCTTGCTGCATCACTTGCCAAACGACAACCTTTTGGATGTATCTGGACCTGCGGTCGTCCCGATACATTCAGAATTTGGGGTTTCGGCAAGTGGTGCGGCAAGGCCCAAAAGGGCCAAAACCTGTGTGGCTGAGTGCAATGCACTTGTAACTTTTGATAAACAGATCCCGAGTTCGAATCCCGACCTGACGGAATCAGATCAGATGAATGCAATAGTGATGTGGTGTCATCACATATCGAATCCCGACCTGACGGTGTGGTGTCATCACATATCGGATGGAACAAAGCAGAAGGAAAAGAAAAGAACCTGGACTGCGATCAGATCCAGATGGAGTGAGATCGAACCAGCATGTCCAATGCATTCGGACTATCCCCAGATCCAGTTGCAGTGAAGTAAGGCCGTAGAGAACTGACACTTCACGCTTCAACACGGATCTCAACAGCTGAGCTTCAGTTAATACACGGGGCCTCCCTCCACCTCATAACATTCTAAATGAATCTGGAGTGCGATCTGATCCAGATACAGTGGGATTGAACCAGCAGCATGTCCAATGCATTTGGACGACGTCCAATGCATTTGGACGACCCGCAGATCCAAATACATTTAGGATGTTGTGCAGTGGAGCGAGGCCCATGAGCTGTCGTACCAGATTTTCACAGGCTTTGTGAAGCAACGGTATGCGAAACCGGACAACATTCAACCGCCGATACCTTTCCCCGCTAAAAAGAAAATAGAGCGACAGTTCACACGGAGGCTGTCAGCGGCTGACGGCAGCGACCAGACACATCCGCGAAGCTTGGCACGCAAGGCCCGCGGCCGATGTATGAGAAATGTACTGGCGGTTTTACGCAGACCTCATCAAGTCACCTGCTGAGAGCGTACTCGCACTAGGACTTTCTGGACGTATCTGGCCGCGATTACAGTTTGTCCTGCATGTATCTGACCGCAACTGCGTTCAGGAATCGGTGGAAAATGTCCAAGTGTGCATATGCCTGCCCTCAAGAGGATTCGAAAGGGAGACATAACAGCACCTGGTTTATCGACCACAGCTTCACACTAGGAATTTCCTAGACGTATCTGGCCACAATAATGGCCTTTCGTGGATGTATCTGACCGCATTTACAGGCCGTCCTGGATGTATCGGACCACAATCACAGCCGTTAGGGAATTCGAAAGGAAATGTGACAGCACCTGGTTTATCGACCATAGCTTCACACTGCCATCATCGCTTGCACTCGCAAACTTCATCGGGTCACCCCTCGAGAAGTCAACAGACCAAGCACATTTCAAATGCTCCGTGTACTCCATCAACGGTTCGCCCGTGTATACATCCCAGATCTGCAAAAAAAAAAAGAGACATGACAAAACCAGCAAAATGCAAGGAAAATGAGCGATAGCGAATTTCCAGAGAACCAAGCAGCATCATACACACAAAACCAGATAGTCGTGACCTCGAACCAAAAGCAGAATTGCGACACGAGATCCACCAAATAAGAGCACAGCAAAAGCTCACAAGTGACAATGTTCGAATAGTATCATCATCATCAACAATGAACCAATGTCGATTCCCTATCTGGCGCTCGGCGCCCAGACTACGAATGGCAGATCCTATCTAGCCTATATCTACAATACCGTCAGTGATGTCAACAGCTCCCCGAAGTACGAGGTATGTCTCAGCCAATGCCGTTCGCCTCAACCACCAGGTATGTCTCACGCATCACTCACAACCTCGATCCCCCACACAGATGCGGCGTGCACCCACGGACCACCATACGCCCCGTAGCTCGGCTATGACTGCCTGCGTGCACCTTGCTCGCCCGTGAGCGTGTGGGCGGTTGCCAGCTCATAGCGCAGCATGCAGCAAGTGCCCGAATACCAAATGCGGAGGCAGGCACTTTCCTATATGGAAATGGCCTGCCTGCTGCGTGCTGCCTGGCCGCGCTGGGCCCCTGCCCAGAAGCTTCCGGTAGGCCCCAAGTGGCTGAGCGCCGGTCCAACGGAATCGGGCACAGGGCCAGGGGCGTGTCCAACTGCCAGCAGACTGTGCGCAGCGTGTCGAGCCCACGGCCTGCCTCAGATACATTTGAGAAAGGAAGGCAGGGCCTGGGTTCTCTCACCAACTGGCGCTGAGTAACTGCCTGAATTTCCCAGTTGCGTGGTAAAGCCCAAAATAGGTTCCTCTCGGCGTTGGTCAGGCTTGCCTTCACTTAGGGCGGCCGACATGGGTGAAAACAGGGCCCGGTAGGGCTCGTTGAGGCCTTGAGCCTCGCAAAAACCATTGATCAACGCAAACAAAAAAAAAAAGAAAGGTGGTTCACCTGTGTATACATCCCAGATCTGCAAAAAAACGACATGACAAAAACAACACAACCTAGGCTACCAGCCAGGCCGCCCGGGTCACCCTATATTCCCGGACGGCCCGGCCGTGCAAGGACCAAAAAAAAAAAAAAAAAAAAAAAAAAAAAAAAAAAAAAAAAAAAAAAAA